TTATGCAAAACATTTTTGGATTGAATTTTACCTAATGTCGCTAGTCTTTAGTTAAACAGACAGATGCATACTGTATACCAAACAGAATTGCAAGATTGCTACGTAAAACAAGCTTTTTACTGAGTTGTCTTGTTTCTAATCCAAATATCTTAAAATCCTTAAATCAAGAAGCATTTTCAAGACACACAAAAAATACTGTCATGTTTGAAGAAATAATATGGCAAAATTAAGAGAGTCTTTCATTAAAACAAAGCAAAAACAAATCTGCCAATGCAGTAAGAAAAATAATCCTATTTCAATAGTGAAAACAATATTATTTTCCTTGCCTCATTGGCAGATCATTTAGCTTATTTTAAGGAAAAACACTTAATTTTGACTCATTATTTCTGGAAACAATACTAAACGTTTGCATTGTGTTTAGAAAATGCTTCTTGATGTAAGAATTTTTATAATTGGAGTAAATACAAAACAAAAACCCCAAGTATGAAAGCATTTTTGCGGCGTCATGATTACAGACAAAGAGAAGAGTGCTGGAATCTGTTATGATGCTAGCCTGAGATGACACAGAAAATAAATTCTCAGCTTTATCTTATTACACAAACGATAATTGCATGAAACCTTGTCTATTTCTACACCCAAATACTTATTTTTATCTATGTTTTATAATTATTTGTAATACATAACTAAAGCGTTTGTGCATTCATCAGATGTTGTGAATTTGTTTTGTTTTTTTAAAGATAAGAAGTGTTCAACAAAATAAAGAATCTCAAAACTGGTTTGAGTAACAAGTAGAGGAAGAGGAAACCATTATGGGTGAACTCTAATGTTTCAGCTGTAAACTTTAGATGAGCAACATGATGCCAATACACAGACACGCAACTTCACACTTCACAACATCAAACAGACCGCCTCATGCTGTGCCGGCTAAGCTGATGTCTGTCTGATAGTTATCCTTCATTCATGGCTTATTTCACACCTCAGCCCTGTGTGATGTGCTTCATGGGGACTGAACACACTCTATAAATATATCCATAAATTAGCAGTTTTTATCTGCAGTGCTAACAACTGACTAACAGATCTTGTTCTGTCTGTCTGTCTAAATGTGTGTGTGTGTGTGTGTGTTAGTTTTTTCCCCAATTTCTGTTTAACGGAGAGAAGATTGGTTCAACACATTTCTAAACATAATAGTTTTAATAACTCATCTCTAATTTTATCTTTGCCGTGATGACAGTGAATAATATTTTAATAGATATTTTTGAAGATGCTTTTATACAGATTAAAGTGACATTTAAAGGCTTAACTAGGTTAATTATAGTTATTGTATTGCGATGGTTTGTTTTGTAGGCAATCGAAAAACAAATTACCTTAAAGGGTCTAATAATTTTGTCCTTAAAATGGTTTTAAAAAAATAAAAAACTGCTTTTATTCTTGCTGAAATAAAACAAATAAGACTTTCTCCAAAAGAAAAAATATTATCAGACATACTGTGAAAATTTCCTGCATCTGTTCAACATCATTTGGGAAATATTTAAAAAAGAAAAAAAATTCAAACGGGGGCGAATAATTTTGACTTCAACTATATATATGAGCAGTTCCGGCGTTATGGATGTGACATTTGCAGTAAAAACTTAAAGTGTAAATATTATATTGAAACGTCTGTTTATGTTTTCAAAAACATCTAATCAGGGAGTTTTATGATTAGAAAAATTTCAATCTGTAATAATTTTTTATACTTTAAATAAGGAAAATAAACATGCGTTATGGATGTGACAAATAAAAGTTTACGAATTTACAGTATACGACATACTTTGTAGAAATTCTATAAACTGAACTACCCAAAAGAAATAATGCTAATCAA